CCTAAATGTTGATATGGAACCAGGAATCCCAGAAGCCTTTCCTTGTTTTGCTTCCGTACAGGTAGTCCTCGACTTACGACCACAATTGAGTCCACAATGTTTGTTGCTAAGTGAGACAGTTCTTAAGCGAGTTTTCGCCCCATTTTACGGATTTCCTTGCCGCTGTTGATCAGCGAATCGCTGCAGTTGTTAAATGAGTAACCCTGTCGTTAAGTGAATCTGACTTCCCTATGGACTTCGATGGTCAGATCGTGTGAGCTCAGGAGGAGGAGGAAGAGAAAGAGGAGGAGGAGGAAAAGAAAGAGAAGAAGGAAGAGGAGGAGGAGAAAGAGCAGAAGAGGAGGAGGAGAAAGGAGGAAGAGAAAAGGAAGAAGAGAAGGAAGGAGAAAGGAAAAGAAAGAAGAAGGAAGAAGAGGAGAAAGGAGAAGAGGAAGAGAGGAAAAGAGGAGGAAGAGAAAGGAGGAGGAGGAGGAAGAGAAAGAAGAAGGAAGAGGAGGAGGAGAAAGCAGAAGAGGAGAAAGGAGAAAGAAAGAGAAGGAAAAAGAGAAGGGAAAGGAGGAGGAGGAAAAAAAGAAGGAAGAAGAGGAAGGAGAAGAGGAAGAGGAAAAGAGGAGGAGGAGGAAGAGAAAGAAGAAGGGGAAGGAGAAAGAGGAGGAGAAAGGAAGAAGAGGATTGTAGGGACCTTGATCCTCCTATGTATAGATTACCTTTTAAACTTACAGGGTCTCCTGCTCGAGCAGACGGGCTGGACTAGATGACCTTCAAGGTCTCTTCCAGCTCTATTAGTCAGTTTTCTATTAATCAAGAAAGAGAGGCAACCTGGAATGAGGGAGAAACTTCCTCACAGTGAGGATAATTAACCAGTGGAACAGCTGGCCACCAGAAGTGCTCCAACCCTTGAGGTTTTTTTTAAGAACAGTCATTTATCTGAAATGATGTAGGTTCAGGGTGTCCTGCTTGAGCAGGGGGTTGGACTAGAAGACCTCCGAGGTCCCTTCCAGCTCTATGCTGAATAGATTGAATAGAATAAACCCAGGCTCACGGTGAGTTGTCTCCGTGGCAAGTTGGCTGGGCCCATGGTGAGGTGGGCTGCAGGCATGGTGGCCGCAGTGCGTTGTCCCAGATCCGCCCACCTACAAGTAGCACTTCAAAAGGATGCCAATGCGAGTAGATAAATAGGTACCAGCATTACGTGTGCCTCAGCGTATAGTCATGCTGGCCACATGACCACGGAAGTGTTTTCGGACAACGCTGGCTCCCTCGCTAAGAGATGAGCAACGCCCGCCGCAGTCGGACACAACTGGACAGGACTGAAACTTTTACCTACCTTTCCCTTCAAATAAATAAATTTTATATTCCACCTGACTCCGAATGACTCAGTGTGAAAGTAACTCTTATACACACAGAAAGTTAAACTTATTTCTCCTTTGTGCTCCTTTCTCATAAATTAATACTCTGGGTCCAGGCACCGGGCCAAGTATCTCTCCTTAGCTTACATAAGTAACCATCTCCGGCCTGGGAACGGCCAGCTCTCAAATCAATCGGAATAAGATCTGGAAGGGACCTTGGAGGTCTTCTAGTCCAACCCCCTGCTCAATCAGGAGACCCTAGACCATTTCAGACAAAACGGTTGTCCAATCTTTTCTTAAAAACCTCCAGTGAGGGAGCATTCACAACTTCTGGTGGCAAGCTGTTCCGCTGGTTAATTGTCCTGTTAGGAAGTTTCTCCTTAATTCCAGGTTGCTTCTCTCCTTGATGAGTTTCCATCCGTTGTTTCTTCTTCTGCCTTCAGGTGGTTTGGAGAATAGATTGACCTCCTCCTCTTTCTGGCAGCCCCTTAAATACTGGAAGATTGCTATTATGTCCCCCCTACTCCTTCGTTTCTCTAGACTAGCTATACACAATTCCTGAAACCGTTCTTCGTATGTTTTAGTCTCTTTAATCCTCTTAGTGGCTCTTCTCTGCACTTTTTCCAAAATCTCAGCATCTTTTCTGTAATGTGAGGACCAAAACTGGATGCCATATTCCAAATGTGGCCTTACTAAGGCTTTATAAAATGGTACTCACGCGATTTTGATTCTATGCCTCGGTTTACACAACCGAGGATTGTATTGGCTTGTTTTCGGCTGCTTGCCGCACATGGCTAATTCATGTTTAAGTGCTCGTCCACTAGGACTCTTAAGATTCCTCTCACAGTGACTTTATAAAAACTATAAAGAACTTTGATGGGATATTTGGCAGTTGATATTAAAGTACCACATTCATTTTCAGTGTTTCCAGCCTCGGCTCCTTTAAGAGGGGTGTACTTCAACTCCCAGAATTCTCCACTTCATGCATTGCAATGGCTGGGGAATTCTGGGAGTTGAAGTCCAAACACCGAAGTTTAAAAACAACAACACTGCTCTAAATCAGGGGTCTCCAACCTTGGCAACTTTTAAGACTTGTGGATCCTTCTTTATTTTGCCACAACCTTTCTTCTTCTCCTCCCTTTCTCTTCCTTCCTCTATCTCCTCCTACTTTCTTCCTCTCCTTCTCTTTCCTACTTTCCCTTCTCCCACTCCTCTCTTTCTTCCCCCTTCTAACCTTCTCTCCTACTCCTCTTTCCCTTCCCCTTTTCTTCCTCTCCTTTTCCCTTTCTTCTTTCTCCTCTCCTCTCGTCTCCCTTCCTCTCACTCTACTCCTTCCCCTCTTTCTTGTTGTTTCCCTTTTCATGGTAAAAGAGCAGCCCCGAATCAGTAAAAATTAAAAATGAAAGTTAAAAGAAGCTTTGCTGGCTGAGGAACTCTGGGAGTTGAAGTCCACAAGTCTTAAAGTTGCCAAGGTTGGAGACCCCTGCTCTGAGTTACTCCTTTGAAGCTCCTGAAGCACCACTGCTACCATTTAAGCAGGAAAAAAGCATCACGCAGCTCCTTCCATGAACTTTTGACAAATATATATATATATATATATATATATATATTTATATATATATATATATATATATATATATATATGCACAAAAATGGCTGTGATACAACTTCGCAGCTTGGAGCAAAAGTTTTAGATGTAGAGTTACGCTCCTCCTTTGCAATTTATATAACCTTTTTGCCTGTGGAAGGCGAAGAAGCAATATCAATTTTTAATGGCCTCCTTTTCTGCAAAAGGTTTATTTATTGACCGGGTTTGTTTTAGACCTTCTTCTAGGAAGTATTTGTATTTGCATAAGCACCCTGCGATGTCACGTTGGATTATTTATTTTTTTATTTTATTTATTTTATTCAATTTGTATCCTAGTGGACTCAGGGCGGTGCACAGCCAGAACTAAAACACATAACAATACGAATTGTTCGAATTTAAAACAATTCGAATTAAAAAACCCATTAACAGATTAAAAGCTAAACAATTAAAAAACTAAAAAAAGGGGGCGGGGTTCACCAACGTTAACCAAAGGTTAATCAACCTTTCTTAGCTGCTAAGTGAATCACCGCAGTTGTGAAGTTAGTTAAGTGAATCTGGCTTCCGCACTGACTTTGCTTGTCAGAAGGTTGCAACAGGGAATCGCGTGACTCAGGGACACGCCGACCGTCATAAATACGATGCCAAGCATCTGAATTTTGATCACGTGACTTTGGGGATGCCACAACGGTCGCAAGTTTGAAAAAAACGGTCGTAAGTCCCTCTCTTCAGTGCCGTTGTAACTTCTAACGGTCACTAAACGAACCGTTGTAAGTCAAGGACTACCTGTATTTATCCAGCGAGTAATTCAGGACACAGCTGACTCGCTCTCGACAGTTGAGAAGAAGAAACCCCGTCTTTCAAACCGCAATTATTTAAACCGCGAGCACAAAAGGAACCCATACTTCTCTTTTCTTCGAAGAAACAACAATGTTCACACAATCATTTTCACTTCTGCAGCCTTCTCTCCCCATCCCACCCCTTAGTTTTGTGGTCATTATTACAAAGAATTTTATTTTTCTCACACTTTTTCCTATTTCTTTCTGTCTTGGCACACACGCACACGGTCTTTGATCCGTTGCCCAAGAAAAAAAATTCAGATGTACAAATTATCCAGGGTTGGAATTCCTTGTCACTTGTCAAGCATCTGAATTCTTATTTTTTGTTTTTTTAAGGGAATCAAAGAAAATTCACATCCCTATTGCTCTCTACAGAGAAATAGAGACCTTAAAATGCTTGGAAAAATAAGGGACGCTTCATCCTGGCAACATAAGTGTAATATAAATCAGGGGTTTTCAAACGTGGCAACGTTAAGATTTGTGGACTTCAGCTCCCAGAATTCCCCAGCCAGCTACCACAGCCAGCTAGGGAATTCTGGGAGTTGAAGTCTACATGTCTTAAAATGGCCAAGTTGGGAGATGTCTGTTGTAAATAATTGTTTTTCAACCTTTGGACAGTTTAAGACAGGTGGACTTCAGCTCCCAGAATTCCCCAGCCAGCAACCATGGCCAACTAGGGAATTCTGGGAGTTGAAGTTTGGATACGTCTCATATATATCATTCTTTTTCAAACTTGGCCAGTTTAAGACAGGTGGACTTCAGCTCCCAGAATTCCCCAGGCAGCAACCATGGCCAACTAGGGAATTCTGGGAGTTGAAGTTTGGATACGTCTCATATATATCATTCTTTTTCAAACTTGGCCAGTTTAAAACAGGTGGACTTCAGCTCCCAGAATTCCCCAGGCAGCACCATGGCCAACTAGGGAATTCTGGGAGTTGAAGTTTGGATACGTCTCATATATATTCATTTTTTCAAACTTGGCCAGTTTAAAACAGGTGGACTTCAGCTCCCAGAATTCCCCAGGCAGCATAGCTGCCTGGGGAATTCTGGGAGTTGAAGTCCACCCATCTTAAAGCGGCAAGATTGAAAAATGAATGATGTAGATCCTAAGCAAAATAATTTCCAGAATGGAATAATACCCTGTCATTGCTTAGTAAAGGTCTTGATGCCAGTTTTAGGATGTCAACTTGCTAAAAAAAAAAAAAAAAAAAAACCCAGAAAAGGTGCTATTTTTAGCTGGCTTTATTCTTTGAACTTGTAATGTTTCGTGATGCCAAAAGCAATTTTCCTTTTTTCCCTGTACTCTAGAATTAATTGTTCCACAATTATAATTCCGAACACTGGGCTGGGCCGGATATGTTTTCAGGTAATCCCAGAGCTGAGGTGACCCATTTCACGCCTACATCATCTCCGTTGGAGGCTGAAGGATTCTCAAAACCAGTTTTTCCAGGGCTTGTTCCAGAACGCAGAAATCAGAGCTTCGCTCCAAGAGCAGCAGCAGCAGAGTCAACCCGAGTCCTTAAAATAAACCAAAATTAACTCAGGAATATAAAGGGGGGGGGGTTTGCCCACCCATCTGCTATTCCACATTTAGGAATATTTGTCTGTTTGTCCGGATATATCAGCATTCTGTAGAACGTAAAACTGTTAGGTTAAAATTAGGTGCACATGTTCAGAGCACAATTCTACATTTCAAGTTCAAATGCTAAGCTGAGAGAGAGAGAGAGAAAGACAGAGAAAAAGAGACAGAGAGAGAGAATGAGAGAGAGACAGAGAGAGACAGACAGACAGAAAGAGAGAGAGAATGAGAGAGAAACAGAGAGAGACCCAGAGAGAGAGAGGAATGAGAGAGAGAGAGACAGAGAATGAGAGAGACAGAGAGAAAGAGAAACAGACAGAAAGAGAGAGAGAGAGAGACAGAGAAAGAGAGACAGAAAGAATGAGAGAGAGAAAGAAAGAGACGGAATGAGAGAAAGAGAGAAAAAGAGACAGAGAGAAAGAGAGAAAATGAGAGAGACAGAGAGAGACAGACAGAAAGAGAGAGAGAATGAGAGAGAAACAGAGAGACAGAGAGAGACAGAGAGAAAGAGAGAATGAGAGAGAGAGAGACAGAGAATGAGAGAGACAGAGAGAAAGAGAAACAGACAGAAAGAGAGAGAGAAAGAGAGACAGAGAAAGAATGAGAGAGAGAAAGAAAGAGACGGAATGAGAGAGAGACAGAGAGACAGAGAGAAAGAGAGAAAATGAGAGAGACAGAGAGCGAGACAGAAAGAGAGAGAGAGAGACCGAAAGAGAGAATGAGAGACAGACAGACAGAGAGAAAGAGTGAGAATGAGAGAGACAGAGAGCGAGAAAGAGAGACAGAAAGAGAGAGAGAGAGCAAGAGAGAGAGAGAATGAGAGACAGACAGAGAGAAAGAGTGAGAATGAGAGAGACAGAGAGAGAGAAAGAGAGAGACAGAAAGAGAGAGAGACCGAGAGAGAGAAAGAGAGACAGAGAGAGAGAGAATGAAAGAGAGAGACGGAGAGAACAAAACGGAAAGAGAAAGAAAGAGAGAGAATGAGAGAGAGAGGGAGAATACATAAAATACAACACAGCGGCTGCATTTAGACATGTTTATCGAGGCTACTCAATTACAGGTGGTCCTCAACGTACGACCACAATTGAGCCCAAAATTTCCGTTGCTAAGCGAAACATTTGTTAAGTGGATTTTCTGCCGCTTTTCCCGACCTTTCTTGCCACAGTTGCTAAGTGAATCATTGCGGTGGTTAAGTTAGGAAGGTGGTTGTTAAGGGTGTCTGGCTTCCCCATTGACTTTGCTTGTCAGATGGTCGCAAAAGCGGATCACATCATTCCCTGGGACAATGCAACTGTCGTAAATGTGAGTCAGATGCCCACTGTCTGAATTTTGATAACGTGACCGATGGTCGTAAGTGTGAACCGGTTGCCAAGTATCTGAATTTTGATCACATGACCCTGGGGATACTGCAACGGCTATAAGTGTAAAAAAATGCTGGTAAAGTCACTTTTTTCAATGATGTTGTAACTTTGGTCACTAAATGAACTGTTGTAAGTTGAGGACGACCTGTTGGTGAGTATGGTCAAAATATAAGCAAGTACGAAGGAGAAAGATTCTCCAAATCCAGTGAAGATTATCTGATATTATCTGATCTGATATTATCAGATTGAATAAATATATAATTATGATAGATAGATAGATGATAGATACAATATAGATAGATATAGATAGATACAGAGATATAGATAGAAAGAAAGATAGATAGATAGATATAGATATAGATAGATATAGATAGATAGATAGATAGATAGATATAGATAGATGATAGATAGATATAGAGATATAGATAGATAGAAAGAAAGATAGATTGATATAGATATAGATAGATATAGATAGATGATAGATACAATATAGATAGATACAGAGATATAGATAGATAGATAGATAGATAGATAGATAGATAGATAGATAGATACAGAGATATAGATAGATATAGAGATATAGATGATAGATATAGAGATAGATAGATGATAGATGATAGATAGATATAGAGATATAGATAGAAAGAAAGAAAGATAGATATAGATATAGATATAGATAGATGATAGATACAATATAGATAGATAGATACAGAGATATAGATAGATAGATAGAGAGATATAGAGATATAGATAGATGATATAGATATAGATAGAATATAGATAGATAGATGATAGATAGATATAGAATGATAGATACAGAGATATAGATAGATATAGATAGATAGATGATAGAAAATATAGAGATAGACAGACAGACAGACATAGATAGATAGATAGATATTGAGATATAGATAGATATAAATATATATATATATATATATAATAATTCCATAGTTATCAGAATTCTATATATTTATAATTTATTTATAATATATTTATAATAATTACTGATATATACTGATATATATATTACAGTATTATATATATATCAGTAATTATTATAAAATATATTATAAATAAATTATAAATATATAGAATTCTGATAACTATGGAATTATAAAACCAATCTAGTACTAAGGAGTAACTTCCTGACAGTGAAAACAATTGAGCAGTGGAACAGCTTGCCACCAGAAATTGTGGGTGCTCCATCCCTGGAGGTTTTTAAGAAGAGACTGGGCAAGCCTTTGTCTGAAAAGGTATAGAGATTCCTGCCTGAGCAGGGGGGTTGGACTAGATGACCTTCCAACTCTTGTTATTCTATGATTCTATTCCCCAAAGCCCCTGAAGGACAAGAAGCAACGGATGGAAACTAACCACGGAGAGAAGCAACCTGAAACTAAGGAGAAACTTCCCAACAGCGACAACAATTAATCAGTGGAACTTCTTGCCTTCAGAAGTTGCAGTTGCTCCATCACTGGAGGATTTCAAGAAGAGACAGGACAGTCATCTGTCTAGAAGGATAGAGATGTCCAAATTCAGGAACTTTTAAGACTTAAGTAAGGAAGCTTCACCAATTGCAATTTTTCTTTCCTGAATGAGAAAACCTCTGAATCATTTGCAGTCGTTCCTTCCTGTTTGATTTGGGATGAGCTTGGCGTTGTTAAAATGCCAAGAAAGGAAGAAAATCAGGCCCCACCCCAATATCAATATTAATAGGGCAGGGATATCCTACCTTGAGCACTTTAAGACCCCGTGGACTTCAATTCCCAGAATTCCCCAGCCAGCCATTTGACCCACAGACAAACCTCCAAGTGGCCTCATTTGCATCCTCTAAAACAGTGTTTCTCAACCTTGGTAGCTTGAAGATGGGTGGACTTCAACTCCCAGAATCCCCTAGCCAGCGTTGCTGGCTGGGGGATTCTGGGAGTTGAAGTCCACCCATCTTCAAGCTTCCAAGGTTGAGAAACATTGCTCTAAAAGGATGCAAATGACCAACTGTCTGCAAGGAGTATCAACCCTTCCCCATCATCCACTCAGAGCTGATGAAGCTTCTTGGAGGAGAAGCGAAAAGTCTTCAAAAAAAAAAACAAAAAACAGGAAGTCCAGTTGCCTCTTGAAAAAAAGGGAAAAAAAGCACCTTGGAGTTGAATGAGAGAGTCAATATCAGGCTTGGACAGCTGGGGGCAGCGAGGAGTCGCTTTGGACTTGGGTTCATGTTCCTTTCTCTGACCAAGGGTGAAAAGTTTTGCCCAAAGTTTTGTCCTGACTTTGCTTTGGAGTTGAGAGGAGGGTGGGGGGGAGAGAGAGGGCAGTAAAGAGCCGTGCCCTCCCTTCTGAGCCATCCAGGCAAGGGTTGGCCCTGGCAGGCCCCAGCGGGCACGCCTCCTCCTTCCTCTTCTTCTCTTTCACCACCACTACCACTGTTGTTTCCAGACGGCGTTGGCTGGAGCAACATCTCGAGAAGAAAACTAGGAAGGTCCAGAGGAGGGAAATGAAGGCAGCCTTCTTGCTGGGGGGGTTGAAGATGGACCCCAAAGGGAGCCAAGCAACGTAAGAGAGCCACCTCGGGAAGAATCCTGGAAGGGTAAGTTTTGGGGAATTGGGGGGGGGAAAACAGTTTATGATGTGTTACAGATTGCTGAACCAAAGCGGGTGCAACGTGTTTCGGATTGCCCCTGGGCACATTCCAGCAGGCAGACTGGGGCACAGGGCTTCCTTGATCATAGCTCCGTCAAAGGTTTCAAGCGAGGAGGATGAAAACTCCCAGGAGCTGGTATTTAAAGAAAGGGAAGGAGAAGAAGGAAAGGAAAGGAAAGGAAAAGAAAGGAGAGAGAGAGAGAGAAGGAAGCAAGGAAGGGAAAGAGGGAGGGAGAAAGAAAGAAAGAAAAAGGAACGAGAGAAAGAAAGGGAGGGAGATGAAAAGCAGGAAGGAAGGCATGCAGGAGGGAGAAAGAGATAAAGAAAGAAAGAAAGAAAGAAAGAAAGAAAGAAAGAAAGAAAGAAAGAAAGAAAGAAAGAAAGAACGGAGGGAGGGAAGAGAAAGGAAAGGAAGAAAAAGGAATGATACAAAGAAAGCAAGGAAGGAGTGAGAAGGAAGGAAAGAGAAAAAATGAAAGGAGGAGAGGGGAGAAAGGAAGAAAACAAGGAAAGGAGAGGAAAGAGGAAAGGGAAGGAGAAAGGGAAGGGAAGGAGGGAGATGAAAGAAAGAAAGAAGGAAACACAAAAGGAGGGAGGTAAGAAAAAGGAAGAAGGAAGAAAAAGAAAAAAGGAAGGAAGAAAGAGGGAGGTGGAAAGGAGGAAAAAAGAAGGAATGGCAGGAAAGCAAGGAAGAAGAGGGGGAAGGAAAGAAAATAACGAAGGAGAGGGGGAGAAAGGAAGAAAAGAAAGGGAAAGAAAGAGGAAAGTAAGGAAGCAGAGAGGGCGAAGGAAGGAAAGAAAGCGAGGAAGGGAAGGAAGGATAGAGAGGGGGCTGAAAGAACGAAAGAAAGAAACCAAAAGTGCAGGGGGGGAAAAAAGAAGGAAATATCAATGTAATGTAAACACTGGATATCTGTCTACTACACAACTTTCATTTTTCTTCTTTCATCTACTATTGTTTCTAATCATCAAACCTCCGTACCCTAATTTCGTTTTGTTTCCTGTTTCATGCAAAAAAAAAAAAGGTCCAAAAATCCACACCTTTTCCCTAATCAGAGGCTGTCAATTTCACGCTTTCGGCCAGCTCTCTCCTTTCCTCCATCCACTCTTCCAATGCGGATAATATCAAACTTATTAATAACAGCATAAGAGAGTAAGAGGGTTGGAAGGGACCTGGGAGGTCTTCTAGTCCAACCCCCTGTTCAACTTTGTTCTAATCTTAATCTCCAAATTTTGGAGAAATTGGACAGCCATTTGTCTGAAATGGTACTATATAGTGTCTCTTCCTTGAGCAGGGGGTTGGACTAGATGACCTCCAAGCTCCCTTCCGACTCTGCTATTCTGTTATCCGTTTTCCATTTTATTCTGCTTTTCTTTTCCCACAGTTGATGGAAGGTGGGAACTTATCCTCTCTACGTTTTTCGATCGCTCCTCTCTTCCCTTCCCTGTCTCCCATTCACCCACCCTTCCCTACTATTTTTAGATAGCATTTTTCCCCCTCTGGCTTTAAATAGCCCAAGGTTGATCCATGATATAAGCATTGCAGATGCCCCTAGAATAAATGCTACCAAGACAACGTCTCAATGTGGCCTAGAGAGACTACAGTTCCAATAACAGAATAATGGAAGAGTCGGAAGGGACCTTAAGAGGTCTTCTAGTCCAACCCCCTGCCAAGGTAGGAAACCCTGCACCACTTCAGACAAATGGTTATCCAACCTCTTCTTAAAAATTTCCAGTGTTGGAGCATTCACAACTTCTGGTGGCAAGTTGTTCCACTGGTTAATTATTCTCATTGTCAGGAAATTTCTCCTTAGTTCTAAGTTGCTTCTCTCCTTGATTAGTTTCCATCCGTTGCTTCTTGTCCTGCCTTCAGGTGCTTTGGAGAATAGCTTGACTCCCTCTTCTTTGGGGCATCCCCTGAGATATTGGGAGACTGCTATCATGTCTCCCCTGGTCCTTCTTTTCATCAAACTAGACATACACAGTTCCTGCAACCGTTCTTCATATGTTTTAGCCTCCAGTCCAGGGTGGATAAAAATCAATGATTTTTTAAAAAAAAATAAAAAAAAATCAGATTTTTTTGATTTAAATCGGATTTTTTTTATTTAAATCAGATTTTTTTGATTTTTATCGAATTTATTTTAATAAAAAACTTTTGGGGTAAAAATCTATCGTAAGATAGTTTTCTATTTAAGATACATACAAGAGCCTTGGTAGTGCAGTGGTTTAAGGCACTCTGTTATTAAGCTGGTTATTAAGACCAGATGCCTGCAATTACTGCAGGTTCGAATCTCACCAGGCTCAAGGTTGACTCAGCCTTCCATCCTTTCTAAGGTAGGTAAATTGAGGACCCAGTTTGTGGGGGCAATAAGCTGACTTTGTATAAATATACAAAAGAATGAAGGCTATTGCTTAACGCATTGTAAGCCGCCCTGAGTCTCCGGAGAAGGGCGGCATATAAATAAATAAAAATAAAAATAAAAAAAAAATACATAAATAATTGAGTTTATTCAGCATGAAATGGAGCTTAGTTCTGTAGCAGGAGGCTGTATATTCTGCAGCACTGGGACTATCGGTGAGTCAACAGTGGGTCAAAGGAGTAGCAGAGATGACAGTTGCTCTTTAAAAATTATGATTTAAATCGAGTTGATTTAAATCAAGCCTTTTTACTAGTGATTTAAATCATGATTTAAATTGTGATTTAAATCATGATTTAAATTGTGATTGAAATCGACTCGATTTAAATCAAATCCACCCTGCTCCAGTCCCCTAATCCTCTTTGTTATGATGTGATTTATGACAGATATGTGACTTGTGGCCATTTTTCACACTTAACGACTGTTACAGCATCCCCATAGTAAGGCCACTTGGCAACTGATTCATATTTATGACGGTCACAGTGTCCCCGGGGCATGTTATCCCCTTTTGGGACCCTCTGACGAGGAAAGTCAATGACGACGCGAGAGTCACTTAACAACTTTCTTACTAATTTACTAACAACGGCAGATTCACTTAACAACAGTGGCAAAAAAGGCTGTAAAACGGGACAAAACTCGCTTAAGAACTGTCTCGCTTAACAATGGAAATTTTGGGCTCGGTTGTGGTTATACGCCGAAGTATTTTAGAGTTACTGGTTTTTTTTTTAAATAAGATAAAAGTTAATTTGGAAAAAAAAATTACTCCCCATTTCTTGTTCTTCAAATGCATCTTAGAGATGCATTTTTCAAACCTTGAAGAAGCATGGAATTCAAACTCCAGAATTCCCGAGCCATATCTATAGCTGTCTTTTTAAAAAATATTAAAATGTTTAACATTTTAATACCGCGTTTCCCCCCAAAACAAGACCCTGTCTTCTTATATATTTTTTGAACCCTGAAATAAGTGCTTGGCCTTATTGCCATGTCCTCAAAAGCCCAATTGGGCTTATTATCAGCAGATAATGTCGTATTTTGGGGAAAACAGGGTATCAAATATCTATAACTCTCCATATCTAAACCCGTCTTTTCTAAAATATTCAACCTTTTAAGAATATTCAAATCTTCTATTACTTTTTTTAGTCTTTCCGCGATAATCAATGTGAATAGTTTGTGATCTACATGACCTAACTCTCCTCTTTTAAAGTTTTAATTCGTGTGATTTTATAAATTGAGTGTTTTAATCTGTGTTTCGGCCAAAATATTTAATAATTTTAAGGGATTTTTTAATATTTGTATTATCTGTATTTTATCTTGGCTGTTCACCGCCCTGAGTCCTTCGGGAGTAGGGTGGTATAGAAATTTGATTAATAAATAAATAAATAAATAAATTTAGTAATGATATCGGTCTATAATTTTTGATTTGTGATTGGTCTGTATCCTCTTGGAATAAGCATAAGCTTATTTTGGAATAAGCTTTCGTCCAAGATTTGGGAATTTTGGCATCCAAGAGTGCATCGTTAAAGGTTTCGAGTAAAATTTCATCTATTGGATGTTGACACAATTTGTAAAATTTGTTTGTTCGTATTAAAAAAAAAATGTTTAATAAAAAATATTACCCAAAAAAAAATATTCAAATCTTCCTGGACGATTTTAAGGGAACACTCCCCCGTCCTCGTTTCTCAAAGTATTTTTATGGTATTTGTAAGTTATGGTAGTTATAAGTATTTTAAGTTATAAGTATAAATAGTTATGGTATTTGTAAGTATTTTGGGAGTTGGTGGATTTCACAGAAATCTCAGTTTAATAGGTAACCGTTTGCTGGCAGGGTGAAGGTTTCGATAGCCGAACATTTTAATGAGTGACATCTAATATTAGTCCTAACTAAATTAAGCTTTTTCTCCAGCTCAGAGTCATTCAGATGGTGTTGAGTTTCATAACATTCCCCATAATCCCCGGTAAAAGTCAAAGGACTGAACGAACAACAACAGCTTGTAAAACTCTGAAGCAGACGCGCTTAGATCCATGGGAGAAAAGTATTTATTTAGAAGCAGTCCTTGACTTATAACCGTAATGGTGCTTTCCCGTTATGGTCATAAATCGAGGACTGCTTCTAAACACAGATAGTCCTCGACTTATAATAATTTGTATAGTGACTGTACGAAGTTACAAGGGCACTGGAAAAAGTGACTTGTGACCATTTTTCACACTTAATGACCGTCACAGCGTCCCCAGGTCACATGATTGACATTCGGATGCTTGACAACGGACTCAGAATTTATGACGGTCGCAGTGTCCCTGCGGCCCCCTTTTGCGACCTTCAGACAAGCAAAGTCAAGAGGAAAAAAAACCAGATTCGCTTAACAACGGTGTTACTCATTTAAGAACTGCAGTGATCCGCTTAACAAACGCAGAGAGAGAAGTCGTAGAATGGGACCAAGCTGACTTAATTTCTCACTTAGCAACATACATTTTGGGCTCCGTTATGGTTGTAAGTTGAAGACTGCCTTTAGCCCCCTGCCTATTACAGTCG